TCCCACAATCATATGAGTTGAGCTGACGTTTCATTTATGCAACATTGTTTGTCGATTTGCATCCAAAATCATCGGTCGGTTGATCCTGCATAAAGACGACGGCTGATTAGCGTTGTTCCTTACTAATTTACTGTCAGTCTACTTTGGATGAGAACAACTTTTGGGAAAGCAAGGCAATGTGAAAGTAAATGGAAACGTCAGTTCTACTCATACCATCGTGGGGAAAATTCTACTACCGGCTCTTCATCACTTTCATCAACGAAATTGTGTGAAAACATCTCATACTACTGATTTACTGGTAGTCTCGAGACTCTACTACTTAAATACGAGAATATGTACCATTTAGTTGTTGACTCGTTTGTCTCATCCTCTCTCCTGCTCAGCCCCCTCGGCGCCAATCGGCCTGCAGATCAGGAGCCGCACGACGACCAGCCTCTCGCTGGCCTGGTCGAGGCCCAGCAACGTGACCGGCACCTTCATTGGCTACAGACTTGAGGTGACCAGCCTCTCCTTTCCCGACGCCGCGGCCGACTTTGTGCCCACCAACAGCTCGTACAACCTCTCGACAACCACCCTCGAGCACACGCTCACTGGCCTCCAGCAGTTCGGCCGCTACCGAATCAAGCTGTACGCCATCAACGCCAACTCACTTGGCTTCTTCGGAAGACCCGGCGCCTCGGCCAGCCTCGATACCACCACTCTGCCCGGACGTGAGTCGACCAATCGCCCCCCGACCCTATCCCCCCCGTTCTACGCCGCCTGTCTGTCAGTATGTCTGTCCGTTTGGATGTCTGCGTGTACGTTTAATTTTCCTTATCTTGCTTTCCTTCTTTCTTTCTTCCTGTCGTTCTTTCTGTCTCCATTTCTGTCTGTCCGGTTCTGCTTTTCTCTCTTTATGTCTCTATGTTTGTATGTCTGTCTGTCTACGTCTCCGTTTGCATTTCCTTATTTCTTCGTTTGCTTCTTACTTTCTTTCTTTCTCTCTTTCTTTCCTCCTTTTTTTCGTTCTGTCGTTCTTTCTGTTTCCTCGTATGTTTGTCCGGTTCTGCTTTTCTCTCTTTCTGTCTATATGTTTGTCTGTCTGT